ATTTTTGTGGACAACAACTATGCCTCGCTTAAGATACGTCACGCACTCCGTTGCTCTTATTGGTTGTAGGTCTATCCAATTGAGTACAGAGGCATTTTTTTCCTGGTTCGTTCAAAACACGCCCCATAATCACAGCTCTATGGAGCAGTATCAGACTCATATTCTGACTAGAACTGAGTCGGACTACGTCAGGCTAGGCACTTGCAGTCCCAGAGTAACTCCCTTAACCCCCGATCGCTCCCCAGGTGCCGCACAGTTGCAGCTCACTTCTCCCAAAGGGGATGGGTTAAGATGCAGAAGTGAATTTCTCCATTGTGAGATCAATGATGTTCAATTATCGTTATTATTTTACATGAAGGCTAAATTGGTGGGTCTAACATTCCTCAGTTGTGTCCTTTGCATGCTGATTGACCAGCTGTACATGGCAGTTCATTGAACCAGAGCTTCTGCAATCTCTTATGGGATTCATAAAGGATAAATATCCTGTGAACAGATTCTGCCACCTGGGCTGAGGATCCCCTCAGTTCCTGCAGAGCTACAATGGGTCACTCAGCTGTTTTAATGATTCATGTCAATTTAAAACACGTCTTGAGATACAGTTTTAAAATTTTATCCTGTCTTCAACTTCTTTACAACTTTGAAATTGTTCTTAAATATGTTTTTTTATTCACTTATGTTCCCCACAGCTGTCTAGGCTAAGGTGTGAGTAATTTTCTCAATCCCCTGTAAATATTATGTTCAGTGTTTGTCAGAGTTCCTCACCAGTCCACTATGTCACTGGTTCCCAGCAGCGTAGCAGCATTAATGACTGGATTCCTGGCTGCACATGCTCTGTAGAAGTCTGGGTACTGACCAATCAAATGACAGGACAGGAAGCCACCATGGGAACCACCAATCACAGCCAAGCGTTTGGGATCGAGGGTTTTGTCGCTCTGCAGTGCAGCTGTAACGGCCCTCTGAGTAAAAAAAGCCACATCAACTTTATGCTGATAGACTGAAGGGTCTTCCTTACAAAGCCACTATTTATGTACTTAAGGGTCAGGTCATAGTTTTCCATTGGTGGACTTAAAGAGCTAGAAAGGAAATTTGATACCTGCACATCTTTTACATCCTGGCTCCCAATCTGACCAATCAGGGACAAGATGCTGTCCTGGCCGAAGCCTGTGGATCCCCGATAGTTCACTGGATGGAGACAATACAAGGTAGAGCGACATCAGCTGGATAAAAACAGAAACATGGAGGGAGCCAAACCATAAACATGAAAACGCTTTGTTTGAATGTTCAAAGTTTATCATAACTATTAAAATCTGGCAATGATTGTGATATCTGGTATGCCGTGCTCATCAGAAACAAGCACCTTAGCTTAGGCTGATGAAAGATGTGCAAAAACTACAAAAAGTTAACTTTTAAAGAGCAGAGTAAAACAGTTCATTGAAATAAACTCCCGCAAACATATTTGTAAACATTCTAAAATACTTGGGCTCAGGGAATTTCTGCAGAAAAGAAAACGTCTCACCCATTAGCACAGCAAAGCCCAGTTCAACCAGTCCAGCTGAGGTGCTGTTCCACTCTGCAGGGAACTGGGAGTGAGGACCACCTAAACGACAAAACCATTAGTAATTGCATGAGCATCTATATGTGCTAGAAAAACATCCAAACCCGAGGTGCAGACCATGAATAGAGACGACCAGAGGCGTTTTGCTTTCACAGGCGGGACGAGATGGTTTCACCAAGACGGCCCCAAAATCTAAACCAGCTGTTCGAAAGAGAAGAATGGAAAGTCTGTTGATTCCAAACCTTTACAGAAATACACAAATGGCAAAACATTCAAAGCATTTTCACTGTTATTATCAAATATTGTTTCCAGAGTTCGAATGCAGATATTTACATATAGTGCATAAAAAGCGCTTCCTGCCACAAACGGCACCATGTTGCCACCTCCTCCATGTTTCAGAGCAGACACACGATATCTGGATGATAAGTGCTTCTAAATCCTGCAACTTTCTTCATTTCCAAATCTAACATTTTGGCCAAACTGATTTTAGTTTAATCAGAGCAGAGGACAATCCCTGATTGCATTTTAAAACTGAAATGTTTTTTGTTTTTTTTTTACACTGCTTTCAGAGTAATTGTTTCTTCCCCTCCATGTGGCCTTTCAGCACATGTTGGAACTCATTTCACTTTGGATAATCAGACCCTCTGCACTCTTATCAGCTTTAGCAAACATTCTTCACATGGCCTTTTTCTTTTTTTGGCTTTGCGAGTTCAATTCACATGTTTGACAAAAAAGCGGTTCATCCCTGGGTCAAATCCTGTCTCCTTCCTGAACAGCAAAAGGACATTATCACTGTGTTTATAGTTGTGTAATAGCGTTCAAATTCAATTATTTAATATGACATTGAAAAAAAACAGCAAGTTTACCCAAAGTGCTGTTCAAAAATAAGATAGACAGGATAAAACTGGGACATGAAGCATTAAAAAAAAACTATTATTAAATAGAATAGAGGCAATAAAAAGCATATATCTACTTTTACCTGGCCAAACAAGAAGGGAAAAATGGGTATATTTATATATATTATCTAAAGTCTATTCGGATGATATGTGCTAATGTCTGTCTGTGCCATAACATTCATTTAATTTCCCTTTATGATTTATAGATGATTTTTAATTGAATTAAATTGAAGTTCTGTTTCCTGCTGTACATATAAATGATGTTCAATTGTTTTTTATTATGACACATTAGTGTCTACTGGGGCTGGGTATTTTCGCCAAAGTCCTGGATCGATTCAATTTTGATTAATACAGTTCTAAATCGATTAAATCTGTTTTTACAATAATGAAAGCTGTTCAGCTGTGTTTCAAAATACTCTGTATTTACATTTTTCCTGTCACATTAAACACAAAGTGCAAACTTGTCAATCAGACAGTTTAAACTTGAGATGTGAACAAAACTGTCTCATAAGTACAATCTTGTTTGTGAAAAGTGAAAAAGTTAAGCCTCACTCAAGCAAGCGGACACGACACAGTGGGGACACAGTAGACATGTATGAGCTGCTTTATCTTCACTGCACAAACTATATTAGCAGCGTTGTCAGTAACAACTACAGGGTGTTTGCTGGTCAGCCCCCATGTCTTCAGTCAGCTTATTGGCTATAATTGCAGATGCCTGTCTTGAAGTAATCTTGAGTGCATCTTTCCTGCTCATTTGAATGTGAACGTCACACGCGTCACTATAAAACTAAATCGATCTCATTCCCTAGAAATTGATTTTGCAAAAATGTAAAGGAGTCGACTCAAAATCGATTAAATCGATTTTTCTACCCAGCCCTAGTGTCCACCAGATTAAAGCACACATTGATCTAATCATGTGGCAGGAGCTGAAAGCTCACGGTAAGTTATGTTGTCCTCCTCTGATGAAGGTGTAACATTCAGGACTGTCCAAAGGTAATCGAAGGTCATGAAAGGTGCTTGCAGGGTTCTCCAGGTCACAGTCTCACAGTCTGCTGATGGAAGGAATCCCACCCTCTGCACACCCAAACACAACACAGAAAAGACCCAGAAATCTCATCCATCTTTTTACAGTTAAACAGTAGCTGACCAGGATCAGGGTGTCTGATTCTGTCTTACCAGCGTGGGGGGAGAGCTGGGGCTGGAGCAGCAGACTACCATCAGATCTCTTTGGACCGTTAGCAGCTTCCAGCTGCCGTAAACCTTAGAGAGATCGGAGAGTTCTGAGAGGCAAGAGAAACAGAGCAGAGGGAAAGAGACAGCAGACATTTTTAAACCAAGCAGGAGGATTCAGGAGGATGAAACAACAGCTCAACTACTTTAATTTCCAACTGTATAACTGTGACAACTGAGTGACAGCACTTTATGCTAGGATGGTGTGTTCATGGCTAAAATGAAATGATAACTACAATCTCTGATCTTTACAGAGTTAGAATTTGGGAGGCAGAATGACCACTGAAGATGATCACAAAACTGAGTAACTAAAAAAAACTGAAAAAACATGAAGGAACTAGTAATAGGAACTGGACTGATTCCAGGATTAAAGTCTTTTTGTTTATTTAGGCCAATACAACCTCTCTGTGTCCTGACAGGTGCTTTAAACAGACAGTCTCTTAAAATGAAATTAAAGGCTAATACACACTTGGGCTTCCTCCCCCATAACTCTGTGCAGCGCATTTTAGCACAACCACAGGTTAACCCGAAAGTTGTCGAAATTAGACTAAACTCGTGCTGATACGTTGAAATCGTTGAAACAGCCATGGAAATTTTATTTTTAAATACATTTACTTCCTTTTTTGCAGATATACAAGAGAAAAGTGCAGTGAAAATGTGAATCCTGCACCCTTCAGACTCGGCCATCAACTCAGCAACTGTTTATGGCCAAAACCTTGGTGTCATGATGGACTCAGACCTGAACCTTTAGAGGCTCATAAAGGCAGTTACCAGGTCAGCCTTTTATCACCTGAAGAACATTTCCAGGATTAAAGAGCTAATAGCCAAGCAGGATCTACAAAAACTAATTCATGCATTTATCTTTACTAGAATTGATTACTGCAAGTGTCTTAATAGGTTTGCCTAAAATGACCATCAGACAGCTGCAGCTGATTCAAAACGCTGCTACCCGTGTTCTCACTAGAACTAAGAAAGTAGAGCAGATCAGCCTGGTTCTGAAGTCCTTCCATGGGATCCCTGTAGATCAGAGACTTTAAAATCCTTCTTTTAGTCTATAAATCACTGAATGGATCAGAAGCTCAATACAGAACAGATTTGTTGTCAGTGTATCACCATCCCAGACCACTCAGGTCTGCTAGTTCCAGCCTACTCTGTCCACCCAGAATTAGAACCAAACATGGAGGAGCAACATTTAGTTCCTATGCTCCACTTATCTGGAACAAACTCCCAGAGATTGTAAAAGTGCTGAAAGCCTGAGTTCTTTTAAGTCAAAGTTAAAAAGCAACTAGTTTAGCACTGCCTTTTACTGTCGAAGTTAAACTGCTAACTGAGGTATTATTAGTTAATGGTTCTGGTCCAATTTTTTTTGTTAGTTTTACTACCTGCTTTTATCATGTTTTTATCTTTACTTGCTTTTATTTTCTTCTATTTTATTGTTTAATTCACATAAAGCACCTAGAATTGTCCTCATACTGAATTGTGCTATGCAAATAAACTTGCCTCGCCTTACTTCAAATATATGTGCAACTTTGTGTGACTTTATCATGTAATATCTTAGAAAATATACTGAGGTCTGTAGCTGCAAAGTGAAAAAACATGGAAAGATTTAAGGGGTTTGAATACTTTTTATGGTATGTTTGTACTACGCATAGATCAACAAGAGATCTCAGCATAGGGCTTTTATCAAGATCAAAATAATTTTTTTGTTGTTAGTTTTTTGGGGGGGTTTTGTCTCGCCATACCTTCCAGCTCTCTCTGGTGTTCGTGACGAAGATGAGATGATGAGGCAAGAGGAGTGTTTGGAAAGTAAGACTCAGCAGGAAGAGGGGGAGCTGAATTTAGGACAAAGGGAGAAGGAGGAGGTGGAAGGTCAGGAGACAGCGGAGTCAGTGGAGGAGGAGGTGAATAAAAAGACCAATAAGGGGATGAAGGGGAAGGAAGGAAAGGAGTGGGAGGCAAGGAAGGAGGAGGGGGGAAAATAAAAGAAGGAGAGTAGGTGGGGAGTGGAGGAGGGGGAGGAGGGGACGGACTCTTACTATCGGAGAGGGAAGTGACTTTCTTTGTTCTTCTGTCCACCATGAAGACATCCTGACAGAGGAGAGATGAGCAAAGTGACAGATGGCCCAAACTCAAACAAAGCTAGATTTAATTGCAGAGAAATATGAGTAGCAACGTTTTAGCCGTAGATGAGCTCTGATAGTTACCTTCCAGTTTCTAACGGCGCTGCTAAACACGACCTTCTGACCATCAGCAGACCAGCAGTGCGAAGGCAGAGCTTCATACACTCCTGCAAACTCACCTGAAACCATCAAACCATTTATCCCATTAAATGTGGCACAGTAAGTGAGTCACTGTGTCATAAATGACCTTTAACCTACCATCCTGGGGCCTGCTGACAACGTCCAGCATGGTCGAGGTCTTCCAGCTCTTCAGGTCCAACTGTGCAGGGTTAACATTTAAATGTTAACAGATGGAAAATATGCACAGAGGGCTAAACAAAATACACAGCATACCTGCTGCACACTGTGGCACTGGTTGTGAGGCCCAAACACTCTGCCCTGAAGGTAGATCAACGTGGAGCCATCTGGACTCAGCCTGGGACAGGACACTGAGACATTGTCCTCTGATATGCATTCTGGGACAGAAGAGAGAAGGGTGTACAGCAGGGATGTCTGAGCCTGATCCCATTAGATTAATGGAGACACAAAGGTAGAGGTCTCACCACAGCGCCCGTCCAGGCTGAGTCTGAAGAGAGCCGACCTGAAACATGAGCAAGAAAGAAAAAGGAAGCAATGGTGAGACGATTTTATATCTGAGGGGGTATTACAGGCTGCAGCCATAATATAAACCTTTTATCCAAAATATTGGACCAAAAACAGTCAGACTTAAACATTTTCATACAATGAAAAAAACATAATCTGATTAATGTTTATAAATCAAGAAAATACCTTTTGATTGATTTCAAAAGTACAGTTTGCCTACATTTAACTTTGCAGCCATTTTAATCACCTAATCTAACAATAATATAGATCAGAGAGGTTTGCAATCAAAAAACTCATCATGTCTCCTTTTTTTCTCAGTACCATAACTGCTGTTCTTAGGAGGAAAAATTGAAGAAAAAAAAAAGAAAAAAAGAGGACGTTTAAGCAGGCATCAGCTGCAGGCCTCCAAGAGGCTGAATACAACGAGAGCCATGAAATCTGACTTGGGTAAAACAAAGATAATCCATTGCAATGACTGGATCTATCAAAGTATAACACCTGAATTATTACAGCCTCCACCATTGTTTAAACATCCCGATTATAAGCCTGGTTCTATATATTGAGCATTTCTACCTGAATGTGCTGTGCTTTGTTCCTAAGTTTCTAAAATAACAAAAAATAATAATAAGACAAAACAATCATTATGCATATAATCAGTAAGGAGGTTCAAATCTGTACCGGACCCTTTAAAATCGGCAAAAGATTTGGTTGATGTGTCTGCGAACCAGAGCAGCTCTAGAGCAACATTTTAAGTTGTCTATTTGAGTGGGAAAATAGCAAAAAAAATCATCAGGGTTTTACAAAGCAAACGGTATTCACCGATATGGGTCACTTGGCTTCAAAAAGCTGCATGTTTTGGGACAGATGGAGGAAACTCTCCAGATCTGAAGTTTTTTTTTTTTTTTATTAAATGAGAAAAGTGGAATAAAACTGTGTGAAATCTAAGCACAGCTGTCCATAACCTGAAGGTCAGGTCAATCACATAAAGACCCAGAAAAAAATAGGTCACCAACAAGACCTTAAGATTTCAGAGAAATATGGCCGAGTCAGCAGACTTCTGTGGGTTCTCATCTAATGATTACGACTAATATCAAAGAAAGTTTTTTAACATTTTTTATTCCTTTGTTCCCAGCCGTCCTCCAGCCTTCACTTCAACAACTGAAATCCAAACAAGTAATTTTTTCTTAAAATTAGTTCATTTTTCTTGATTTGAGGAGGTAAGTGAGACACTTCGCCAATGGAACAAAACAATTTACATTTAAAATAAGAAAAAAACAATTGTAGTTTGTTATTTCAAGTGCATATTATCTAATCATCTTATTTTAACAGTAAAAATACTAATTCCATTGGCAAATCAACTTATTTACCTGCTTAAATTAATGGTAAATACACTTAATTTAACACATTTTACTTATTTCTACATCGTTTTTGCAGCCTTCAGTTTGACCATTCAATCATGTTTAAACATTAAATATTTAAAAAGAAGTACTGACAGGCTTGGTTATTAAGAAGTAACAAGTTTATTTTACATTTCTGCTTCCATTTGTCACCCTGCTTTATGCTAAGTGAGCAAAGAAGAGTGTGAAACCTGCGGTTGGAGCAGAACTTCAGTCCAAGTCTGAAAGGTTCGTGGTACCATCCCACAAAGAAGACAGAGTGAGCGCCGGGAGCCCACAGAGCCTGGAGAGACAATAGCCAACATTAGACAGAAACCATCAAGTTTAAAGGATGAAAAGGATCACTGATGAAGGTCTGGGGTTACCTGTCCAGGTGAGACGTCTGGTGGGACGCCCTGCAGAACTCCGACTGCACCATGAAGCAAATCCACCACACAGAGCACTGGGACGCTCTTACTGGTTAGAGCCTCGCCCCATTCCTCACAGTACACACTCCTGTCCTGTTTGTGTACAAAAAAGGTCTCCATACAATAAGCCGGTAATCAAATTATTTCTCTATATTAATATTTCTTCACCTTTCTGCTGGTGGATTCTCCAGGTTCTCCTGATGAGCTCCTGCTGCCCTCAGCTACGTACAGCAGCTTGGTCTCACATTCCGACCAGGACAGGCATCCGAACTGAGCTGGAAACACACAAACAAAAAACATGAGAGAGACATGAAGAGCATGTTCATGTACCAGCCTCCCTGATGATACTCAGTCGGATCTCTTACCATCATCATACACTCTGCCATGGTTGTTCAGGGCGGACAGGTTGAGGCATTTCCTGAGGCCATGATGGTCCCAGATCTGAACACAGACAACCAAAAACAGCAGACCGGTAGGAATGCTAAAGCTTTGAACTCATCGGGAACTAATGAGGTCCATAATTCTCACCTCTAGGAGCTGCTGGCTGCCCGTCTCCCTGACAACAGCCCTCAGGCCTTGATTAGGCGAAATGTCACTCAACAACCTGAAGAACAAGAACAGAAGATAAAACCTTAATGCGATTCATATAATTTGCTCATATTTAAGATTTTCATTAAAACAAGGAGAGCATGTTAGTCAATATCACTTTTACCAAAAATATTTGCTTAATCAGATCTATCAAAATACATTACTTTTATGGAAAAGGCTAGATCTGCTCAGCCTGACAAAAAAAGTCTCAAACAAGCTAATCAAGCAATCAGGCTCATGATAAAGTTTTATGTTTAAATCTTTCTATCAGATGTACATCTAATGGTACTTTTGGATAAAAGGGTTAAATTCAGGGTGACTCACTCTCCAGACACTGGTGCACATGGTCCAGGTGGGAGGATGGTCCTGATGCTCCGGTGGTTGTTGCTGTCGGCGATCAGAGTCCACTGCTGCGAGAAGCGAAATCTGGAGCATCGGACCAGGTCACTCTGAATCCATTCTGCATGTGGGTACAGTCAAAGGGATGGATTCACTTTAAAGGTTATCATTTTATTTTGCACAAATACATGATTCCAGTCCTCTATAATATTTATCTGAGGTAATTTGGTAAACAGGATATTTTAGTCAGATCTACAAAGATCTTCAGCTACCAAAAGACACAAAATTAAGGGAGTGCTTCTGTGCAGCTCAGCTCAGACATGTCATATGGTGCACACCAGACTAGACTACTATACTACCAGACTACTAAGGGGAAAGATCTGAAGAAAAAATTTGGAGGATACCCAATTCGAAGTGTTATAGGGGATGAAGATGGAGATGAGAAGATCAAAAAATATATGGATCCAATTACAGTGTTTACAATGGAATTGTAGTTCAAAACATTAACACAGGATATGGAAAGAAATAAAATGTTCAGGTGGTAGCATATGATAGTGATTTCAAACCAGCAATGTATGATAAACCGTTCAAACAATGAATAAACAAGGGGTTCACAGGATGGTATATCCTTCAGATAGACAGGGAGCTGGAGGGATTTCTAAAATTGAAGGAGAAATATAATTTAGATGAACAGGATTTTTACAGAAATTGAGATAATATTATAAGACATAAATCAGGTGGGATCCCTCTGTGGAAGTGAATAAGTTGATTGAAATTGTGATAAATTCATTCAGTGGAACAAAAATTTAAGTAATCTCTACTTTATATCAAAAATCGATGATGAATAAACATTAAACTAAGTATATAAAAGAAAAGTGGAAATCAGAGCTTAACATGAGAATTTCAGATGCAGATTGGCTGGATATGTGGAAAACACATCAGACATTTACCAATTCACGGATATGGAGGAAGTTCAAATGGAAAAATGTAATACAATTTTTCATCGCGCCTAAAGTCAAGAATAGATATAAATACACAAACATGGGGTGCTGGTGTAATTGTGAATCAATGAGTGCCGATCATTCTCAAGTATTATTATTATTTTATTTGTTGTCCAGGAGGCTACAGTGTCATCTTAAATGTTTGTAGATTGTCTTCATGTAAGTTAAGAGAAAAGTGCTATATGAAAATATCCAGGGCGGTTTTTGTTGGGTTTAAAATCCTGAAGATAAGGAAATGAAGCCAGGTTTAGAGGCAATAATGTGAGTTTGGTCATATTATGACTGCAGCTGAAATCCTTACAGGACAAAATAGATCATGGGAAAGAAAGTAAGTACAAAACTTTTTTTTTTCTTTTTCTGGGATGTAAAACCATTATAACTCACCATTTGGAATTAACTGTTTATCTTTTGCAAACATTGAGAATCCAACATGCAATTTTTGTTTGTTTAAATAGACCACGTTCATGTAAAAAAAATTGATTGGCACAACGTTATATTTATTATAATTGGAAAAATTATATAATTTAGAGAAAGGTATTTTTTTTTATTGTAAGCTTTTTATTATTACATCTTTCTTTTTATTTATTCTAAAAAGCTTCCAAATAATATATATAAGTTATTTTCATTGTTAGTGAGCAGGTATCTTGAAGAAACATATTTTATTATCATTAACTTTGTCTTTTAGTACCATGTAGTTTCAGAGGGGGAATTTGCTAATTTAAAGTAATGTTGACCAACAGCAGAAGGAGGCTAACAGCAGTTAGCTCACCTGCTGTCACCGTGTAGATCCGGGCTTCCGGCTGCTGCTCCTCGCGCACATGAGCTGCAACAGGAACAGGGAGGCCGCTGACCTTTCCGAACACCCCGGTGATCTGGTCGGAGTCCATCCGAGTATCCTGCAGCAAAAACGGCTACAAACAACCAGGATCTGCTAACAAACCTGATGACACAATCGCTGCATTTAAGTGTTTCTTCTCAGGCGCAGCTGCCGACGGATCTCTTTTACACCAAAAGTTAATCACATCGCTCGATCGATGGCTTTAATGTATCCTATAGACGCGCTTAAACACCTGCATACCTGAACCGTTATTAAACCTGCTCCTCCATGTTGAATTTATCGGAAGACGATGGCACCTGAACTACAACCAAGTGTAGTTGTAAAGGGTGGCCGCAAGGGGGCAGCAGAGACAAGCTCATATATATATATATTTTATTTTTTTTTCCCCACTGGGGAAAAATGTTCAGTCATCCTAAAATTGTATTTAACAAAGGCAATTATAGACAGAACAAGGATCCATATGAATTTTGCCATCAAGATCAGTGACAAAGTACTAAACGGTGTAACAAAAAATAAAATGGGGGAAACAGACATCTGGGTGTCTATAGCTTTTCATAATGACTAAAAGCAATCTATATACCAGCTGTTTGCTTAATTGAGTTTACTTATAAGTCAACTTCTGAAGTCAAATATATTACATTATTTTAATAGAGTGGAATAAGTTAAAACAATCTAGATGTTCAGCTATTTTCATTTCATTTGATTTCCACCAATGCTGAAGGACAAATTGGACTACTGAGAGTTTGAGAAAAAAATAAATTTGCAGCTTTAACGGTCATTTACTTAAAAAGATTATCCAGTTAAATGGATTTTAAAAGTGAAAAGTATCATAATTTAAAAAAAAAAAAAAA